CTCCCAGCCGGGGGTTTCCCTGGCACCCGGCGCGCAGGGACAGTCCGTGCCAGCGGGCTGAGGGAAATTACACCAGCCATAAAAACCCCCTAGCCTTAAAAACGCAGCAAACTACACTAAAAACAAACATACATTAGAAAATGTAACACAAGCACTTCTAGACCGTTTCCCAAAGGTGACCACACGCACAAATGCAACCCCTACAGGTGACAATGACGCTGCTCCCAGCTCAGAGCCATCACAGGGGCCAGAGCAGCCTGGCCCCGCGGTGCCACACACAACAGGGGGCAACTGGCAGCAGCAAGTCCAGAGGAGACCACAAAAATGATCGGAGGGCTGGAGCAGCTGAGAAAAGGAAAGGCTGAGAGTCGGGGCTGCTCAGCCTGGAAAGGACAAGGCTCCACAGAGACCTCTGAGCAGCCTTCCGTTACTTAAAGGCAGCTTAAAAGAAAGAGACACTTTTTAGCAGGGCTGGTAATGGTTTTAAACTAAACAAGGGGAGATTTAGACTAGATACAAGGAAGAACATTTTTTTACAATGAGGGTGGTGAAACACTGGAACAAGCTGCCCAGAGAGGTGGCAGAAGCCCCAGCCCTGGAAACAGTCGATGTCAGGTTGGACAGGGCTCTGAGCAACCCGATCTAGTTAAAGATGTCCCTGTTCACTGCAGGGGGGTTGGATTAGATGGCCTTTAAAGGCCCCTTCCAACCTGAACCATTCTATGAAGACCCTCACATGCAGAGCAGGGCAGCAACCCCCTTGGCCAGCCTGTCCCAAAGTGCTGGAGTTTCAAGGCAACATGTTACTATAAACTCTGCTGCCCATTACAGTCTCCTTCACCCTTTAATTATGGCCGTGGAAAGAACATAGTGTACAACTGTATTGTCATGGGGTGGAAGGACTTGTATTTAGGACTTGTATATATCTGTGCCTTATATTTAGAGACAAAAATCAGTGGAAATGCACATTTCTGAGAGAAAGTCCTTGAAAACTCCTGAATGATGCCTAGGGCAGGGAAATTGTTCCCTTGAGAGAGTGAGCAAAGGGGCCAAAACTCTGAATCAGTATTTTCACAATCACAGTCACAAAATCAAGATGAAGTGGTCACAGCATCTTTGGTGCCTATTAGCACACCCAGCAGATGCAATGCCAGCAGCAGAGTGGCAGTGTTGTAACAAAGGCATTTGGCAATTTCCTTGAAAGAAATGCTGATGCATTGTTCAACTCCAAAGTATTCTGTTAAAACAGCCCACGCCGGGCACATTATCTGCTAAAGCTACCCCGGCTTTTTGCTCTCCCATCTGTCTGTAGGCCAACATATTGACGTGCTGCTAACAGATTTGAGCCTGATTGCTGCATTAAAGCCTAAGTTTGTTGAAGACATAGATGTGCGTAATGCAGCTGTGCGTGACAGGGGCAGAAATCCACACATAGCCCAGCCAAAGTCCCTCTCTGTGCCCAGCTATCACTCTCCCCTGGGCAGCATTTGGAAAATTCTGGCCCTTGTGTCACCTTTGATAAAGTTAAGCCACAGTTTTGCTCCCCATTATAGCCTTCCTGCCTTACGTAAATCCATCATTAGCCTTTCTGCTTGTGTTATTTCTCACAATCACTCTTTATCTCTTCTCTAACCTTTGGGCTTGTCCTTTGTCTCCTGCTACTTTCCACTTCCTTCCTGCTTCCCTGGTGAGAACTAGTGTGAAACTCCTGGCTGTTGTCTACCAAGCACCCTTTCTCTTGCTCCATCTCTGAGATTCTTTGCCAAAATTAATCCTACCTGCCTTGCCTGCCTCTGGCAAGTGCTCCAACCTGAGGATTAATTTCCATTTGACAGAAAGCTCTACACCCAAAAATTATATGAAAATCTGGTTTTAGAAGTATAATATGGCTTGTAGTGTTTCTGCAGGCATGACTCAGTATCTCGTTGCTACGTGCTTTTGCTTTTATCATCACTTTCCATTGCATTCCCTCCACTGAGCCCTGCTGCTGGTCCAGAGTTTTTCTGGACACTGCAATCCCATCCACACCACTGCAGGCCGAGCTATGTAAGAGATTCTTCCCTCTCTGCAGAAAGAGCCAGCACATCTTTTCCCCATAAAGGCCTTACAGGTCTAACAGAAGCAACAGCTGGTTTTGTCACTGGTAGTCACAGCAGATTTGTTCAGGGTGAAAAAGCCACCAAGACAAGGTGACTTTTCAGAGTAGAACCAGATTTACAAGCCCTGAGTTCTTCATCTCCAGCCTGATGACTGGTTCTGCAGAAACTGAAACTGTGCCCCAAGTGTCCCCTGTGGCCCCGTGCCCTGCGTCTGCTCCAGCCTTCCCCAAAGCATCACTCAGATGGGGTGTTGCTGCTACTGCTACCTTGCCAGCAGGCTGTCACACCTTGCTCTTTTGCATGAAGCCACATGGCAGAATTACTTCCAGGAATCAGGAAATCCAATGCAACCTGACTGTTAATAAACTAGAAACCCACATTTGTCTTACCAATAATAAAAAGCGAACAGGATCCCTTAAGAATAAATTCAATTAAACAAATATAAAATAAACAAACAAACAGAAAACAACAAAAAGCAAACCCAAATCAGAAGACAATTAAATGCCATCAGTACACCTTTCCTCTCCAACAGCCATAGTCAAACCCCTGCAGTCAAATTCAGCAACCAGAGACCTGAACGTAAAAATGTCTATGAGTAAAGGATGTTTTGTATTAAAAGGGAAGTGTGAGCATGAACAGGGAAGAACTTCCTCTGTTTCAGCAAAGGAAATGCCATTGTGCC